AAGGGTTCGCCGAGAGGTTGATCTCCACTTCGGGGTTTTCCTCATCCTCAGAGAGGTCACCTCCTCAAACAAGGTGGTTAGAGAGAATATTCCCCATGTGCCTTGCACATAGGCTCCATCCTACATCATGAGGTGCCTATAAATAGCACCCACAAATAGTTTTACAAGGGATGGATTTTGGAGATTTTTCAACTCTTGGGAAAGAACTAATTTCCCCTCTCTATTATCAACCTTGAGAGTGAAAGATGGAGATCCATGGGAGAGCCTTGCCATTATTCTCTCTCTAGCCATTTTGCCTTCTTCTTCACCTAATCTCTTATCTCCATAATCCCCTTTGTTTTTGTGTTCCTAAGTTGAGATTATTGAAGAATCTAAGCCTCTCATCATATTCTAGAGAATTCGAAGTTGTTCTTCGAAGATCTTTGAATTTTCCAACTCCTTTCTTGAACCCTCTCCTACAAGTTATAACTCATGAGATCTTTGATTATACCAAATGTAATGTTAGGTTATGGCTCGTTCTTTTTTTTTTTCAGTTATGACTTAGAAAATATGAAATTATACCATTTTCTTCTTTGATTAAAAAGTACATATCTTTCCCATACTATGAAATCTTCTCTGACTTGTATATATATATTTGACTTGTAGTTGTTCACAAGCTTACATTGTCATACAAAATTTGCAGCGTCATATTGAACTCATGTTTCCGTATATTGTATTTTTATTTTTTTCATGAGCAATGATATATAAATAAATAAAAAATACACAAAAATTATATAAAGAATGGGATAATTATTCGTTATTCCATCTAAACTATGTTCATTTCGCCACTCTTGTACATTCTTACATTGGAGGTTTAGGGATTAATACTTTTCAATGACAAAAGTTGACTATTTCTCTCTCAGTATAAATGTTGTATTAAGATGTTTATTTCGTATTATTATTGACTATATTTTGTGCTGGTTGTTGGAAGAAAAATGATATAGAAGTATACTTTTTAGACCCATTTGAAATTAAGAGTACTTGCGTGTAGGTTTTAATAAGTAGATTTATTGTCTAATAAGTCTTATGAAAAAAATATTCATAAAAAAAGTCACTAATTGTAAGTTTTAGCGACAATTTACAAAAATTATGACAAAAAAAAGTCACTAATTGTCAATTTTTAACGACATATATAAAAAATTGTCACAACTATTTTAGCGACAATTTTATCAAGACGGACTTGATGGAAATTAAATCCAACTATTAGGACCTATTGATAGTTTACCTTTGAAATTATTAGTTGATAATTAAAGAAAATATAAGCGAGAGTTGTCTTTGATATTTTAATAGATTGTCACATTATTAAGTTTAAAAAATGAGTCTAACTTTTGGAGTTAGAGTAGTACTTATACTTCTTGGAATTCTAGTTACGTATTTTTTATTATTTTTTCTGTAAACAATAAATAAATATGTTTTTGCTTTCTGTTTAATGTTCTCATTTTTTTGGAAAACACAAAAGTCTAGGAGGGTTGCAGTTTGAAAGTCGATCATAATCCACAAACACAAAACACACACATATGGTTCCTATTCTAAGTCGAAGGTTTCAATTACGTTTGGAGTGTCAATTGGGTAGAGAGTTTGATTTAATGTACAAAATTGTCTTCAATAATTTATTTTGTTGGACTTGAGCACAGTGACAATCCCCCTTAGTCTACACGTCACGAGTCAATGTTAGAGATTGGGCAGGGAAAGAAGGTCTATGGACTAGAAAATCAAATGTAGTTAATATTTTTTTGAGCAGGTATGACATTTCGTCAAAAAAAAAATATTAACTCTAAAGCGAACTAATTCAATTTAAAGGGTAAACTGATAATTTGAAGATGCAAAATCAATTTTTTTTCTCCAAAAAAAATTTCATGAAAATCAAACCTGGATAGCTTGCCAGCTTCATGAGTTTGACAATGAAAAGGACCTCTGCAAAAAAATGCCATTAATAACTCTCTCTTTCTCTCTCTCTCTCATAAGGAAAGATTAAATAGAAAAATGCTAAAATTTCTAAAATTTCTACCAAATGACATTGGGTAAAACATTTAATATAAATTTTGGTGAAAGCTGCACGCGAATTGAAGAGAATCGAAACAATTAAAAAAATAATAATTTTACACATGTTCACAATTTTATTAAAAATCTCATTAAAAATACAAATGATCAAATGTGATCGTTATCAATCCAGAAATTACCTAAAAATTTTATCTTGTAATTCTGATTTATTCTATACATAGACTCCACATGAACCCCATACTACACAAATTAATCTCTACCATACAATTACCCACCCAGAATTTTTTTGGGTAGATAAGGGTGGGTCTTTAGACATTTCTTTAGTAGGATTGTCAATAAAATTTTAAATAAATAGCATTGCTCTAAAAAAAATATAAAGGCAAAATTACACCCAAAATAAATAAATAAATTTGACGCTTGTAATAAAATTACTTTCTTAATTTTTTCAATTTGAAGTCTATTTTTTTTTTCAATTTAAATTATTTTACTATTTTTGTTAAGTAAAATTAACCAAAAAATAATATTTTAATCATTAAACTTGTGTACATAAAATGTCTACAAAAAAATTCACTTAGTTTAACGGCTAAAATTTTCTTTTTTCAGTCAATCTAACTTAATAAAAATAGTTAGATGATTTAAATTGAAAGTAAATCAAAAGATTAGATTTTAAATTGATAAAAGTAAAAACTTAAATTTATTTTGTTACAATAGTCAAATCCTTCTTCTTCTTTTTTTGTAATTTTCCCAAAAGAATTTCAAGCGTGAGCTTTATAAATAAATAAAATTTTAATTTTATAAATTTAAACTCTAATTTTTTTATTTGTTTTCAATCTAAAATATTTGGCTAATTTTATTACGTAATACTAACAAAAAAAGGCATTTTTGTTAGTAAACTCAATGAAAAAATAAGTATTTTTGTAATGCCCCAACTTAATACAACACAAGTAGGATAAATAACTAAAACATCTTAATATGCATATATAACCAGAGTTAATATCACGGATAATTCGTTTATGTTCTACTACAGGATTACCAAAACATTGTCAAACCAAAAGTCAAAAGAAAAAAAAAATAACTAGTCTAAATCTTCAAATGAACCACAGCTCCAACACTTCATCTTATTTGCCTTTGAAATAATCTTCACCATTGTAAACTGCTTCATCACCTGGCATGACACGCCATGAGTTTGGAATACCCAGTAAAAACACACACACCCCCATATCTTCTATCAACCAATCAACCATACACAGAACAAATTGGGTAACATAACATACAATAGTTCTATGAATTAATAGTTAGACTAGACATCTAGAATCCCCCAAAGAGATCCTTCTATCCAACCACATGAATTGAACACCGGACTATTCAGAGCTCTCCCTTTTGCTGCTTTGCAAACTTTACCACCTATGCCCACCTCCCGGTTATTTACCAGTCAGTGACATTGATGGACCTCAAAAGGGACGGCCAAACAAGTAGGCTCACTTATACCCAAATCGCGTCTAGGGCTCGCTTACACCCTACACATACCATACCAAATCGTGTCTAGGGCTCGTTTACACCCTGCGCATACCATACCAAAAGGCTCGCTTACACCCTGAAACCACCGCATATAGTTTGAATACATCCATGTCAACCTAGGGGCTCGCTTAGACCGATTGCACAAGACTTAACTCATTTAGTTTTAATGCCATCATAATTCATGTCCTTCATATGTATAAATTATTTCACAACACTTATGTGAACGTCACACATTGTCAACCCCTTATCATTTCCTATTTATTAGATCTTTTGCCAAGCAAGTTAGTCACATTCGGTAATTCAGTAATATAAAAGAGCATGAGACAAACGTTATAGGATCTATTGGACAATAAGTCTACTTATTAGGACCTACACATAAGTTCTCCAAAAATTGATTTAGGTTGAAAATAAATTCAAGATTTAATATTTAAATTGACAAAATTAAAAAATTATGATTTATTCATTGAATTTTTTATTTCTGTAATTTCCCAAAAAAAAATAAATAAATAAATTACTCCTTGCTATCTCTTAAAGCATCTTCAATTTTTAATCCCCTTTTTTTTATCAAATAAAAAAGTGTCCAAAATCATCTTCAATTCATTCATTAAAAATGTCTATCAAATTAAAATTTTATCAAATCCTTCATCAAAATGAAAATTTAAAAAGTTGAAAAAAAAAAAAACTATTATTCATTAATGATTTTGAAACTCAAAATAGTTTTGAATTTTTACTTTCAGTCCTTGTGGATTAAGCTCTTAGTGAGCATAAATGCACCATTAGACAATATATTTTCATTTCATTATTAAGTCCATATCAACTCGTTATATTGTTTCCACAGTTGTAAACTCCGAAACATATTTAACACTTGATAATCATGAACAAAGATATGATATATATATATATCGCTGCGGATAATGTTTACAATGATAAATTTGTTGAAGTTTGTGTATTTTAATATTAAAATAACTTTATATAAATGGTTGTTTTTGTAATAAATTCAAAACAAACACTGGAATACATGGGTACAATAATGCATTAAAATATGCAACCAACTAGGCCTAGCCTAGTTGGCCACCATGCCTTCCTTAGGGCTTAGTCCCAAGGAAGTCATGAGTTTAATTCCCTTTAAGAGTGTTAAATTAAGGGAGTACAAGCATCTGGGTGCTTTGCCAAGGATGGGGAGATATTCTCCCACAGATGCTAATCTAACAACTAACAACTAATATTTGCCGATCACAAAAAAAAAAAAACATTAAAATATGCTACACTACAAGAAAATAGTGATTTAGAGACTAATATTTAGGGACTAATTGAATTTAGTCTCTAAAAACTGTCATTTAGGGACAAAAACAAACTTTAAAAAAAAATTATACAAATACACCATATTCTTTTAGAGTAGGCCAAAAAAAATTATTTTGAGACTTTTAGGGACCAAAAAACTAACACGTACGCTCATTTCGACACTTGACCCGCGTGTGTGAAGTGGATAAAAGCTGGAGACCAATTAATTTGGTTGCTAAAGGTTGTCAAATACGCGATATAGAATCGATCTTCACTAGGACTTAATCGATCTCAGCTATTTCCCCTGTTGCTAAAGGTTGTCAAATACGCGACATCAGAATCGATCTTCACTAGGACTCTCGATCTCGGCTATTTCTTCTGTCTAGGGCTTAACGATCTTCAACTTCGATCGATCTTTAGCTTAAATCCGAATCAATCTTTGTGCCACCTCATATCAGAATTGATCTTCACTTCAACCCGAATCGATCTAAGTACTGATCTCAGCTTCAATCGATCTTACCTATTGTAACTTTAATCCGAGTCGATTAAGATCTTAGCTACTGATCTCAGTTTTAATCCGAATCGATCATTGATGATCTGAGTTCTTTGGCTTCAATCGGAAGGTAAATCAATGATTTTCATGGCTGCTGAGATCTTCATCTTGATACACAATTTTCTGAGATTTTCTATCATTTTTGTTAGCTTCACACACACACACACATTCTAAGATCTTATATAATTCATTCTTCATCTTCTTCAATTTTTTCACAGATATATATAAGTTTGAGTAAATCGATTTGGTTTCCAACAGAGATCGTAGTAATTTGGATCAATAACGATTTGGTGTGTTTTCAATCTCTCTCTCTCTCTCTCTCTGTGTCTCTGTGTGTATTAATTTGATGGTATCTCACAATATATGTACATGATGCAATTGTAGAGAAGAAGTCCTGGAGGAAGCAAAGTTACTGGCATTTTTTGGAATCTCCATATCCTATCTCTAAACAGGTCATAAATTGTTTTGTCTTCCTTTATATTCAATTGAAGTAAATTGTCCATGTAGATGCAATACACCCTTGCCTCAACTTGCTACTTGAATGATGTGTACTCTGCATGAATTGTGTGCAAATATTAGATGTCTGGATGTATATGTGGATTTTTGTTTCAGTATATCTGATATTCTGATATTGCATGATTATAAAATTTCATGTTAGTATATCTGTGACTTCTTTTGTCTGCTGTGTGAATAATGTCTGCTTTCTATTGAATAGATTTTTCCCAATGTAAATCCAACTGTCCTGGACCAATTGAGGATTGTTGACTGCATCATTTATGCTATGGGATCCCTTTTTACATCCATCTGCCCATCTTTGGTAACACTATCAACCGAACTGTAACTTTTTTAGGACGACTTTTGCAATTATTAGTAGTTCTCTATTTATTTTTTATTTATTTTTTATTTTTTGTTTTTAGTAGGCAAGGTTGTGTTAATTAAGAAAAACTAGAAAAAGGTGAAATGGATGTATAAATCAGTTTCTGTCACCAGAAGGATCATTGCCAAGGCCCATGAAGGGATCATTTGTCAATTTTATAATATGATTTTCTTTTGTTTCTTCCACTTTTCTTCTTCTTCTTCTTCTTCTTCCTCTTCTTCTTCTTCTTCTTCTTTTTTTTTTCTTGTTCTACCTTTTGCTACCTTTGTCTCTCCCCCAAGAAAGAAAACAACACACAGTTACACCCACTAGCCACATGCCAATTCTACTTGGTGATTACTTGAGTTGATAAAGCAGCGATCACACAAGTCTTGGGCTACTATAGCAGTTGAACATACATGAACAGTTCTTCTCTTTTCTCTTATTAAAACTTGTTAGTCATTTAAAGGATTTTTGATCTCTGTGGTTGCTACTCGCTATGTAATACTACTATCACTTGCTGGAGGGTTTGTGGCTTATCTACTTTATGTTGTAACTTGTTCATCTATCAGTTAGTCAGTTCAATGGAGCTATTATTGACAATGATACTTGTTCATCTATAGGTTGATTCTTTATCTTCTTCTTCATTTTTTGCAAATTTCTGCTACTTTGAAGACATCGATTGGTTAATTCACTCTCTATCAAGGTATTTCTTGATCCTTCAAGTAGTATAGAGTTTTTAATACAGATTGTAGCCAAAAATTAGTTTTAATGTTGAATTAATAAAATTAATTTAACTCATTCTGTTTGATTTATGTTTACTTCATCCTTTTGATGTGAATTTTAATTATAGGTATTTCTCGATCCTTTTGATGTGAATTTTAATTTAACTCAGATTTGTTAAGGGAACCAGATCATATATGTTCCCTTTTCTGTGTTGGTTGGAACATCTTGGGGAAGAGGTGAAGATCCTTGACAAGGATCTGATTACCCCAAAACAAAAAAAAAAATTAAATAAATAAACGTAATGCCAAACTCTAATATAACATGAAATATCATCATGATGAAATATGAATTTGTTATATTGGTCCAATGTGGATTTCTTGTGTTGGTAGTGGGCACATCATGTAACAAAAATGTTTTAAGGCAATAGTGAAGTAGATTGAAAAGCTTGTTTCAGCATTAATATGATATTGTTGTTTTTTGGAATTTGTAGAAGCTTGAATTGCTTTTTTCTTGCAGGAACTTATAGACGTCGAAGGTGATGGAATGGCTGACATGGTATTTCGTTGTATTCATGAAATGGACATTAATAATCAGATGATAGTATGTAGGTCATTTTGTAAGCAATAATTCTTATAGTTTTTTACTTAAAAGCATTTAGTATTATCAATCTTAATAGTTATAACAATGACATATATATCCTACAACTTTGATGAAGATACACTTGTCTTGCTATATAGATTTTTTCTGTACCATGTGACCACTTCATGCCTTGTACAATATACACTTTGTAATGTATTTGAATTTATTTTCAAGTATTTTTAACCCCTAATTTGTTTTGTTTTTCACAGCTCTACTAGCACATAGTTTTAAGTAGATGGAGTACTATGTATCCTGGATTGCCTAGCCGGTAATAAATTTAAATCCTTTTTGCATAAATTAAAATCATTATGTTGCTTTCTTCTTGGTGATATGATGAAACCATATTAATTTTGGTATCAGCCCCTTTCAAACCCACATGAAGAATATCGAAAAAGAGGTGTGGTGATACTTGTGTCAATTATGGGATGATAAGACGTACAAGGTAATGTTTTGAATTTTAAATATTAAAATTATTCCTTATAAAATACATGTTGAAATTGAAAATAGAAGTTAATACCTTTGCATATGCTACAAATTAGATTTAATTGTTGAACACACTTGTAATGCAATTGCACACACTTGTGCTGAGGCTGCAGCTCTTGTGTAGGCTGCTTGTACTTGGGCTGGTGATAATGCTACACTTGTAATAGAAGTCAAATAATTTTTTTTTTTCAAATTTTTCTTTCAATTTGCCCCAAAAATCTGAGCTTTTATTTGCTTCAAATGCCTTAGTTAAGTTCTTCAAGGTGATATCCATTTTTGGATTTCATCTACATCTCTTTTACATTTTTGAACTTTGTTTACACTTGTGATTATGATCATGTGTGCAGGATTTTCATCCTTTCTCTATGACTATAGATGGTGATAAGCTTTTGTGGTCGTGAAACAACTAATTGTTTAGGGCATGTTGCTCTTGTAACTGAACTAGTGATGAGGTGGTGCGAGAGAAAGGCAAAGTTGAAGTTGTCATAGAGTTCTAACTCATACAATGTTGAACTTATTTGATCTTGTTTTGGGATTTAACTCATGTAATGAACTATGTTGAAGTGAATTTGGATACTTAGAGTTTTGATTTTTGTAATTTGTTTTTTGTATATACAAGAATAGATTTGATCTTGTGTGCAAGATTTGATCTTGTTTTTTTCTATATACAGAGATAGATTTGGGCTGTGGATGTCAATTTGTAGCTATGAAATTGAAAGTTTTCAAAATGTTATTTCAAACCTTTAGCGACCAAATATAATTGTTGTTAAAAAGGTCATTATTTTGCTTTTTGCGACCAAATGGAGACATTTTGTGACAAAGTATTAGTGACAAAATGTTTTAGTTTTGCAATATCAAACATTTTGTGACAATATAAAATTGGTCGCTAATTGTCATTTTCAGTGACATTTTCAAAAATTCGTCGTTAAAGACTTTTCTAGACGCACTTTTAGTGACTTTTTTAGTGACAAATTTAATTTTGTCACAAAAACTATTTAGAGACCAAATTAATGGTTTTAGGGACCAAAATAATTGGTCGCCAAAAGTCTTACATGTTGTAGTGCTAGTACTCAACTCAAATACATTAAAATATTGTACTAGAAACTATATGAATCAACTTATTGATGATGTATGCAAATATGATGCCGAGGATTAGAAGTTGCAGTGGAGCCATTTGTTAAAGAAGCCAAAGATGAAGAACTAGTCATCGAAGGAGCAAAATATGTTGGCATAGGCATTTTGGTAGGGAGAATGGGCAATGGAGCTTCAAAATTTAGCACATGAATTGCTTGCCTAATTGAAGGTCAGAGATTGTGATCTGGGTGAGCACACCAAAGCCCAACAATCATCAAGCATTCCACTTCTTCTTGAACGAAATCAGCACATATCTTCGAATCCAACGCCTCAAGAAGCCTACCAGTACCATAGAGGTCCCAAACCCAGTCTACCATTCTCATCTGACTTTTTGGGACCTTCAAGCTAATGGGTTTTCTTCCACATGCTATTTCTAGTGCCACAACTCCAAAACTAAAGACGTCTGATTCCTTATTGGCTTTGCCTGTAACTAGGCATTCTGGTGCCACGTAACCTATTGTTCCTGCCAAAATTGTTGTTTGTGACCCCTTATCGTGGTCGACAAGCCTCGCTAATCCAAAATCCTCAAGTTTAGGGTTGAAATTTGAATCCAACATGACATTGCTTGATTTTACATCTCTGTGTACTATACATTGTTCACATTCTTCGTGCAGATAGAGCAATGCTGAGGCCAAGCCTTTAGCAATTTTGTACCTTATTGCCCATGTCAATAAACTTTTTTCTTTGAAGAGATGATAATCTAAGCTTCCATTTTCCATGACCTCATAAACAAGTAAGAATTCTCTTTTTTCATGACACCAGCCAAGTAGTTGGACCAAATTTCTATGCCTCAACCGACTAATGATCTTCACTTCTGATATGTACTCCTTTATTCCTTGTTTTGATCCCTTAGATATTCTCTTCACAGCAACATGGAGGTTGGATTCCCTCAAGAAACCTCTATAAACCCCACCAAATCCTCCCTCTCCAAGCTTCTGTTCCTTCGCAAAGTAGTTTGTTGCATGATTTAATTCACCATATGAAAACTTCTTTGGTCTGGTACCTACCTCGAATTCATTGTCCACGGATAATTCAATAGCAAGCTCATCTTCTTTTTTTGCTGCTTTATTACTACTTTTGTTCCACAACACAAATCCAAGCAAAGCTAACACACTAATAACCAAAATAAATGAGCCGACAACCACCCCCAGTGCCTTTTTGTTGTTTTCACCCATCCTCTTCTTATCGATTTGCAAAGTCAAATTGAATTGCCCTGTTCTCACATTATTTTTCACAAGAGGATCTTTATGCATGGCTGGACCAGCTTTTTGCAATCGGTTCAAGCCCCGGTCATTTGGGGTGACTTGGATGCCATCTTCGTTGATATAAGCAGGTGGATCAGCTATTATGTCGATATTTTCACGCTTTTGATCAATCTTCGTGAAGTTGAAGCATAGTGAATTTGCTTGAAGAGGGAAATAGTAAAGGGTGAAGAAGAAGAGAGAACAAAGAAGAATAGTACTTGACGGGACTAATGGGTTCCAAGAGTTGCACACAGTCATAGCCATGGTTGGTTTCGTTGTGAGGAGAAAAATTAGTTCTTAATTCTTGATGAGTATAAATTCAATAATCATAGAAGTGTGAACAAATGTATTTTCACCAACTCATTGCTCCCAAGTCTTCTTATACATATGCTGGGGTCATCTTTAGAAAGCAAACACAAGACACTCACGCTTCTTTGATTAGGCGGACGTTGAAATTCTTAATTTAGAAGATTTGTGTTTGGGTATTAGCACTATAAAAAATTAAAATTTTAAAGATCAAAATTTAGAAACAAAATTATCTTTTAGGAATTAAATATTTTTATTGCGAAAAGTGCCGTTATTATATTTTTAGCAACAGAAATTGGACATTAGTGATAAATTATTATCTTTTTAGAACCAAAGTTTTTGTCTCAAAAAATAAACCATTTTGAAACCAAATTATTTTGTTCCTAAAATTCTCTTTATTAGTGATATTTTCAAAATTCTATCGCTAAAAGCCTTGTTTTTGACTTTTCGGGACGACATTTTAGCAATTATTACTCACGATGATAAAAATTAGTCCTTAAATGTCTTTTGCAACAAAATTTTTACTTTTAGAGTCCAAAAAATTTGGTTTCTAAAACTTTTATATATGACAATGTAAATTCTGATAGGCATTCTATCTACCAAAATTAGTAGAATTTTTAATCCTACAACTAATAATGTTTTTTTTTTAATTAGTGAAAGTTAGTGATTAGTTATTAAATTAGCATCTCCAAAGGTTCTTCATCGTAGAATCCTTGGACTTAAATTGGGTTTTATTGAATCATCGTGCTTCTAGTATGAATATGAGGTTTTAATTGATTCATAGGATTTTAACAAGAGAATTCCCATCTATAATAATAGTAAAGTCACATTAGGCATAAACACCAAGCAAAAAAAAGAAATAGGAAAAAAGAGGATTCAAGAGGCCTCTAAGGATCAAGATAAAGGTAAAAAGAGGCCCACATTTTAGATACAGAGGCTTTAAAAAAAAAAATTAAAAAAAAAAAGCCCTATAAGTATCAAGATAAAGACAACTGAGAGAGCTCTACGCAGGCCCGGCCCTGGCCATTGGCCCACAAGGCTATGGCTTAGGGCCCCTCAAAATAGGTCCAAAATGAGGGCCCCCTCCTATTATAGGTTAGTATAATATGTTAGGTGTGTTTTGAGTCCAAAAAAAAATTAAAAAGGGCCCAGACCAACTTAATTTTGTTGACCTATTAAAAAGCCGAAAGTTTAAGGCCCAAACCAACTTAAAAGGCCCATTTTTTTTCTAAGTCCTAACCCTATCAACCTTCCCTTTGATAGCCACACCACACCAGCAAGGGAGAAGAATTTGTGCAGCCAGACGAAGCAGCGCTCCAGCAGCACAGGTAATTTTTTTTTTTTTCTATTCAATTAATTAAATATTTATCTTGTCTTTTGCACAATTAATTACTATTATAATATTGGTATTTACATCATCAAGAAAAATTTATTTAAGTATAATAGTTCACATCACATAATTTAAAAGTTTTATATTTTGTTAAGTGGTGGTGCTTTTATTTTGAATTTTGATTTAAAAAAATATTTTGATCTCAACACAGTAAGCATAGGTAAATATTTTTTTTTCTATTCAATTAATTAAATATTTGTCTTGTCTTTTGCCCAATTAATTGCTATTATAATATTGGTATTTACATCATCAAGAAGAATTCATTTAAAAATGCAAGAAGAGCGAGGATCAAGTGATATATATTAGTTGTTATAATGTAATGCTAAGTATTTTTTGTGATTTTAATGCAAATCTTTTGTCCTTTACCTTAATTTTTTTTTTCCATTCAATAAAAAAAAATTGTGAAGAGCCCCAAAAATTTTAGTAGTTGATTATTGGCTTTGGGCCCCAAAAATCTCAGGACCGAGCCTGGCTCTACGTTTTAGTATTATCGCCACAAACGAAGATCTTTCGGTTTTTTCTTTCCACTGGCCAAAGGGCTAGCCAGGCCACAACCACTTGGTTCCTACAAATAATAATGTCAATCAAAAAATCTAATGGGAATTATATATTTCTATTGTTTATTCCACTAATTCAACTATATAATCAATTCTACCCTAATTTTATAAATTGTTAATTCCTTCATTATTAATCTTTCTAATCAAACAAGGTCTTAAAATACGTTGAGACTATTGTGTGACACAATTATGTGGTGTTTCTGATAAATGAAAAATTGTAAAACACATTAAGTAAGTCATTATTGTCTCTCAACTACCTAACACAGATGGGTCAATATAGTTCTACCTATAAAATTTTTATGACACCACCTTTATGTTTTGTAGGTTGAACACTAATTTGACATGTTCAATATCCATATTATCAAGTCGTATCATACATATATTCGTGTCAAAAAATAGTCAATCTTAAACTGTTAACTTCGTATGCTAACTTCGTGTACGATTCAAATCATGTTATTATGTCGTGTCAAAAATTTCAACTTTTACCTAGTCGTGTTATGTGGAACACATTTTGGGGAAGAGATATACGGCTGTGCCTGCAAAGGCTTCATTATTGTGATTTGTTATTAACATTTAAGGTATCATCAATTAATGAGAATGCAAACATTGCAATAATTTAATTGCATGGTTAATTTGTTGGGATTTATTCCACATTTTACCAATGTAAATAGAAACACATTCACTTACCAACAAAGAAAAAAGTACGATCACACTATGAGATTTACGTAGTTCAACTCAAATTGTCGACATTTCCAAGTGAGAGAGATGATCCATTATATATTGTAAAGAGTACAATCATGAGACCAAAAACTTGACACCAATGTCGAGCCCTAAACAATATTCGTTCCCCGATCAAGAGCAACAAAGCCCCAAAGCCACACCTACTCTCACCTGGTGTCTCAAGTGATTCTCATAAGTTCCTTATTTATAAGCAAATCCAATATATTATCATCTCATACGGTTAATAGAATCTACACATAATGGACTCATAGTAGATTTCAAACTCTACACTAATCCAAATATTTTTTTTTAAGAGAATAACTCTAATCCAAATATATGTTAACACCAATAATTATATGGGTCCTGCAAAAAATAAAACACACCCAACATAATTTAATGTGCATCAAAAGTAACAAAATCTCGAAGTCACACATGCTCACACCTGGTGTCTTAAAACACACATGCTCACACCCAACAAAGCCTCAAAGCCACACCTGCTCACACCTGTGTCTCCAGCTCATAAGTTCCTTATTTATAGACAAATCCAAAATATCATAATCTCATACAATTAATAGAACCTACACATAATAGACTCATAATAGATTTCAAACTCTTCAATCTAATCCAAATATATTTTTTGTTTTTGTTTTTGAATGAATAACTCTAATCCAAATGCATGCAAACACCAATAATTATATGGGTCCCACAAAAAATATAACACGCCCAACATAATTGTGCACCAAAAGTTGCCCACTTATTTCAGTTTTTTTTTTTATTTTTTTTTATTTTTTTATTTTTTAGGATGGCATTGCGGAAAATGGTGGTGCGACAGTTGAATTAAATGGGTTTTTGGGGCTGATCTTTTGATGGATTTTTTGTGGTTTTTTTCCCGTCAAAGTTAAATAAAAATAAAAATAAAATTTAGAAAGGACAAAAAAAATATAAAATAATTGACTTTTTTTTTGTTTTTAAATAATTTTTTTTTTTGCTATTTAAATTTGTCTACACGAAACCGATTCAACTTGAAAAATAAAAAACTTGAAATAATTTTGAAAAAAAAAAAACACTAAAAACAAAACAGATATATATATACATATGTATAAGACTTTTTCATTGAATACCAAAATCACCCTAAATATTGGTTCCTGTTTGACTAGGCCCAAAAAATAAAATAAAAAATCTGTTTTATCTATTTGGTTGGTATGACCGTACGTATGAATGCCAACCAAAAATAAATAAACACTTGACCAATCCAATAAAAAGTTTTCTTCCACTAACGATTAGAACTAGACTTGAAGGAGGATGACACCAATCTATGCTGAAAATATTACCCACCAAATGAATAGTGTGAGAATATAGGACAAATTACACTTGGCACCTCCGGTATTTTTGTTAAAATTTTATTTTAAACTCTTCACGTTTAATTATAATTATAGCAATAAATTTCTTATACGGTAAGTTAAATTATAATTTCACCATTTAAAAAATTAAAAATGAAGGGACTATGGTGAAAGTGAAGGGAATAAAATGAAATTTTAATAAAAGTGTAAAGGTACTAATAAGACGAGAAAAATGTCACATAGTTTCAAATGACAAGTTTCATGATAAAAGAGTGACATTACAACTTGACTTAAAGTTTAAGAAATTAACTGCTATAATTGAAAGTGAAGAGACTAAAGTAAAATTTTAATGAAAATACATGAATGCTAAGCAAGGTTTTAAAAAGCGGCCCCAACCGTTATGTAACGCCATTACGTAGCGGTTGTGGTAGTTACCGCCACCCATTACGGCTGCTTTTACAGTGTGATTAAGATTCACAGATGTGTCGGCCGTAGCGGCTACCGTAGCGATCGTAACGGTGCTGCAACTGCCGTAATGGCCTGTTACATACCATTACGTAACAATACTGAACTGCTTCTTTCGAAAAAACATACACAAAAAAAAGGCTAAAAATGGGAGAAGAGGGATAAAGAGAAGATGGAAGACAAAGAAAGAAGATGGAGAAGCAAGAGACAGAGAGAGAAAAGAGAGAAGATGAAGAACGTGTTATTGATTTGTTGAAACTGTAAGACCTATGCTATTCTATTTAGCTGTTATTACTCAACCATTTTGTTTGTGTGCGTCTATCTATATACTGTTTGATAATAATAATAATAATAATAAGTGTGATCATTATCTACATATATATAGGCTATTATTTATTCTTTTACTTTTGTCATTGTTTAGTGATTGATTTTTTTGTAAAATATCTAGAAAACATAATACCTATAATTATATATTAATACATATTT